ACGTGTTTAACCACTGCGCTATCGCGTCGAACGCTTACGCTTGTGCGTCATCCATTGTATCAATCGAAGTATTGTTTTTCTTCACCTCTGAATACTTATGACCTCTTCAATCGGTAGCTTGAAAGTTCTTGAGTGTCCTTCTTGCACCTTCTTTTGATGTAGAATATAATTACCTCTTGAAATGATTAAATTTTTGAAAGCGGTCTGTGATAGGCTGCATTAATTTTCGAACATCGAAGCACCATGACCAATCAGATTGTAGAATTTACCGTCTAACTCGAAGACAGGGTGGGCGTTGCATTCCGTCCGTCCCAGTAGTGGACGGCCACCAAAAGTAACTGCAAACGACGTGCGCGTAGTTCAACAGTCTTTGGTGGATGGCTGTGTTAATACTGTACCAGAAACATTAGGACCACACGCTCACTCATGGGAATAAGTACAGTCTACACTAATACCGGTAGCTGCTAAACCAAACTATTTACTTGGACCCCCCCGAGGCATTAGAAGTAAACGAAAGCCAACTGTTAATCGACCTGGTGCCCGTAGAAATCGCAACTCTTGTTTCGCAATGCCAACTAGATAGGGGGCTCTAGAGGACCGTTCGCATGTAATGGGGAGCGTATGAACAGTACATACTTGTGTGGATTGGACAAGAACGATTGTCCACTTGTGGTTCTACTTTTGTGGTACAGTATTAATCACAGCCAACCACCAAAGCCTGTTGGACTTTTAATTCAAGACGCACTGGAGGCCAGGTTTCATGCAACGTTATTGTGCTGTAGAACTGAATTGCATTCACAAGATAAAGGCACACGCCGCGAGTCGAACATGTACTAGTAAAAGATGCGTTATACTCGAGCATTACGGCTACGACAACAGTGCGTCTGTTCCAACCCTACAGTGAGATTTAGCAGCCAGGCTTGGTGATGGTGGGGGTCACGGGGTCCGTGGGCAAGAACGATTCAATGAACTTGCGGGCCAACGACACGCGCGAGTACACACCAGGGAGGCCGGGGTCGGCGCAGCCAATGCCCCAGCTGGTCAGACCGGCCACATATTCGACGCCGTTGCGAGTGATGGTCAACGGTCCGCCAGAGTCACCTTGGCACGTGTCCTTATCTGCCCCGCCAGCGCACAACTGCGACGGGAGGATGTCGCCGTACGACCCGAGCGCCTTTTGGCAGTCAGCGTTGGACCAGATCTTGACGTCTGCCTCAAGGAGCACGGGGGATTGCGACCCACCGGATTTGGTGGTGCCGAAGCCACGCACCCACGACACAATGCCTGGGGCGGACGCGGCGTCTTCGACCCAGTTGAGCTTGACGGGGGCGATGGCCGACGCGGTTTCCAACTCAAAGATGGCAAAGTCATAGTCCATCGTGTCTGCGTTGAACTTGGGGTGCGTGGTCTGCTTGACGATCTTGATGCGCTCGCCGTCCTTGTTGCCAGACAAGTAATGCGACCCGATGGACGCGTACGTGGCCCACGAGCCGGCGCAGTGGGCAGCGGTGAGCACCACCTTGGGGGCGATCAGCGACGCGCCGCAGCTGGACGAACTGATGTCCGTCTTACGAAGGCCCGTCACGTACGTGTACTTGCCGACTGGCACTTCGGTACCGTTGACGATTTCGTGTTGGGCGGCCGCGGAGGCACCGACGGCGGCAAGGGCGATGAACTTGGCCATGGCTAAGTGAATTTGAAAATGAGACTATTGCCAGGTTTGATCGAGCAGCAGTGCGAAGTGTGAACCGTCGAATTGGGCTTTGGATTTGGTTAAACTATTGAGTATACTACGTAGCATACATTCGACAATCCATAGCTCACCGGATTCATACAATTCATAGCCAGGTCCAACGTTGGTAATACTGCAAAGTGGTACGTACTACTATGTTCATTTGGCTGATCTTATTCGCGTATAAGTACGTTTGAAGGTGAAACACACAGGGTGGAATCGACAGTAGTTGTCCGTACTTAACGATAAGGTACTGTACTACTGTAGTGGACTTCGACAAGGATCCGCTTGGATGCGTCAATGCAACCTGAGAACATGACTCGCTCGTCAAAGGGTGCATTAGTCGTTGGTCAGGATTAACACATGGCTATGGAAACAACACTGATAGGACAAGATCATTTGTTCCATACATGGTCCAAGTGGTAAGCTGCTCATCGACCCACCGAAATATTGCCTTTCACCAGCATTGACGGACTAACCCTGAAAAAGTTCAATAAATCTGAATGTACCGTTCAGCCAAGACTGAAAACCGTACAAACTAATAAACACTTGTTATTGTTATTACGCTGTAAAGTTAAAATCGCTCAGCGGGCACTTAATGGCCTCGGCCGCGTACTAGCTGCTTTGGCTAATAAACACTTGTTAGGTGAGGCATATATTTTGTACTCTGACCATCTCAACTCTTAACCCTGGGGATTTAGCATTATACTTCGAAGTATGTGCACGCGGGGGTAGGACGAAGTCCTGGGGTTACAGGGATACGGGGGGGAAAATTACTTGAACGGTGTCTTGGCTGAATGGTATCCAGATGTATTGAACGTTTTCCCATAGTTTCCGCATTGACGTCGTCGTCGCCCTCGTTTGTCCTTGAGCAACATCAAATTCTGGAATATGTAACGTTACGAAGCAAGCATCGATGACAATCTCACAAATCAACTCTGGAAATTCTTCATTTTGAGGCCAGATTATAGTGAATTCAAGCAAGCTGAAGTATTTTGACTAGGTCTAGGTTAAGTGGCATCCACAAAGCACTTGCATCAGGCATAAGTATGTAACTGAGATTTCAACCATTACAGTGTCCCTGCAGTTATGGTGTACTCTTAGTGTGGCATTGAAAAATATCCCGCGAAGGTAGGGTTGGTTAAACAGAGCATGACCATCTATCTCGATTGAAAGAAGCTCGTGATGTCCAATGATGGCTTGAATTGTGTTGGTAGTTGATTGCTTACAGGAGTACGTCTTGCATGAACCGGCGACCGGTATAATAATCGGTTGGTTGTTGAACGAGGTTTGTGTGATTTGGTTTATAATTGTGTTGTTTACATTGGCATAATGCGTCTGGTTGATGTTGTTCTGATCCAGACAACGACGACTGCCGCACTCAATTTGTCGACCCAATAATTCACTGTACATGTTGCTTGCTCTCGACCTGGTCCCACCCAGCTACAGTATCCACAAGCCCACGGACGGATTAGACAGCATTATATTCGGGTATTGGGCGAACCAGGAATTGTGTAAGTTCTATAGACTCGTGGGCGACATTACAGGTCGCGGGGGGAACGAAGGGGAACGGAAATCTGGAGCTCGCTTCGAGGAGAAATCAGTCGCGTGGGTGGTATTCCGAGGCGAGGGCCAATATGCAATGATCCTTTGGCTAACTTGTGAGCTTGTCAAAGCAGACCATCGTATAGACGTCAGTATTTAGCGTATGATAAGCTGGTAGTCTCCGCAAACGATGTCCAGGGAGAGCATAAACCTACTTAGTACTACCCCAAGTGTTTTCACGCGAGTTTTGTATATTTTTCGTGTCTCGTGCGTATATACTGTACTTAAGGGTGTTAGGGGCTAAGTTGGTTTCTCTCACGCGCCGATTCCTACTGTATAGCTGATTGAATGCGTAAATTTTGTAAGTGCCCCACTGCTTGATATACTGGTAGAGGCAGTGAAAACGATGAACCCCCCCACCTAACAAAGCACCGTACCCCCTCCAAGTACTGGTGCCAAATCCTACACCCGTACGAAGCTCCCATCAAATGAACCAACGCACTTTTGCCGCAGTAGCTTTAACTGTCGATCATACAGTACACGTTGTTGGGGCGATGGAGCTTGCAGTCCAATGGTGGACCAGAGTAGCTGTATGTATGCGGTCCTACCAATAGTATGCTATAAATGTTAAGTACCATGTCGTGGCCATGTATCTTGGCTCGTACTACAACTGGTAGTAAATGAAATGTGGATAACTTGAAACGTACGAACCATAACCATGCCTCATGATCGTATTTTTCGGGCACTTCGAACAAGGAACCCTTCCCACTAGTCTCTTGTTTCATTCGATGAGCTCCGATAAATCCAAGGTCGGCGCTACCGACGCGAATCAAGCTACCGTGTGCGACGGCGTCGACCGGCAAAGACGGCCGAAGCGATAAAGACAACGAACGAAGGCGATGACGAAGCAAAAGAAGCGGTGACCAGCAGCAGTGTACTCGCGACGACGCCCGTCATCACCGACCACTGCCTTCAAACAACTACAGTAGAAGAGTTGTTCTCGAAATACCTGTCGCTTACTTGCTGATGATTCTAGTCGGACGAATGCGGATAGACATCACACCCGAACGCAAACACACGTCGTCTTCACGAAACTGTGTCGATCGATTTCGGAGCTACCCTATCTTGGACGTGATTGACAGGACTTCGACTGCATGGACCGACCTCTTGTACAATGTGAACGATGACAGACGTGCCCTTGTGAGCAAAGTGCGGCAGATGTTGGTTATCATAACGAAGGACGCCTGTATGGCGGACGAACAGGACAAAAGAACCCGAGGCGTCACTGGACAGGTTTGACCTGTCACTAGGTGGTCGTGCAAGTTTGAAAGGAGAAGAATGTAGAAGTCAAAAGGGGAGGACATCGCTGATCTGCCAGCACTCTAGGCCACGACGAAGCGGAATGGAACACCCAAGTTCACGGACGAGGAAAAGGCCTACCAAACCTCTCAAGTCCATGACGGGCGGATGGGAATAAACACGATTCGCTCGACCAAGTCAAATTGAGTTTTGAACTACCAGTACAGAGAAAAGGTAGTAGTAGTTTAAGAGGGCTGGTTGTAGTGTTAACATCGATGCATGCATTTAGGCCTCGAAGGGGGGATTATTCACGGCGACGACGTTTAGACACAACGGAACCGCTCTAAGTCAAGTTTCATAACGCCAAGTTTCATAACGCCGGTGGCCACGATCAACCCCCAAAGGGCGAAGAAAGTTACTAAAAATCAAGTCATCAATTGTGTAAAAATCACAGCACTTAGGGGATTTGGGGGGGGGGTCGTGCAAACGAAGCTAACAATAGAAAGACCAAGAACTCGAACAAGAAGTCTTACAAGGACGGGCAAGCCAGGAAGCTACCACCTTGCGTGGAGAACCCCAGCGGGGACTCTGACAATCCAACCCCCAAGGGTTAGGCAATTGGTTGCCGATTCTTCATACTTTGACGATCTTGGTGTACTTGGTAGTGTGCTTTGTCTCGACCACTCAACTAACAAACGCATCTAAGAACTTGCCACATAGAGTGCTGTCGAAGATGATTTGTGCATGGTTGGATGGAAACCACTTTCCCCACGTAGCTATACGAAAACTGCTAACGCCCCGCAGTTTTCCAACTTCAACTACATAGCCCATTAATGTGGATTCTTGACGACTATCGGACCCGAGTTGGCGACGGCCCTGGAAGGGGATCCCGATCGCGCGCTCAAAGCCGTGGAATCATGGCCTCACTACGTTGTAAGGCCAATATGGTCGAGTTTTACATGTCAGGCCCAAAATCCCACCAAGAAGCAATACCTGTGGAAGAGAACAGTTGTGGGGTATGTGCGTGATTGGTCTATACAAGAAACGGCAATTCGTCGGCAACGCATCCGGTGGAAGACAAACGATTTGAAGATGCAACGCACGAATAAAACGAGATTTTCCCATGTGAACCATCAAATGGATCCCACGGTCAAGATGGATGAAGTAAGCAACAGTGAGTCGACCAAAGATAGGGGATGCGACGTTTTGCGAACGAGGGAGGGCACTGGTTTGACAACTTCGATCGTGGCCACATTGTGAGCCATACAAACGGCAGACGTGCATTCCCTCGACGACCAACCTGAGTGTCATGTGTTGACTCTACAGTGGTCAAATGGGGGGCCTGCAAACTGGGATGTGTACGTGGGGTGTACGAAAGACCAAGTCCGGCAAGCACGGCTACGTCGTAGTTTGAGATTGTGGGGTAGCCAGAGCTGATTTCTACTCGTCGCCAGTCCTGTAGTGAACCTATCGGTGATAATACATACTAGTACTAAATTGCATGATTGTGGGGTCCCGTGGTTGCAAGGTTTGATTGTGAAGCGTAGACTGTTGGTGTGAAGTTGATGTACTGTACAGTACATTTATGCACCGAGTATTATCAAAGTAACGAGGGCGATATGTAAAGCTCCGCTGACGGAAAACACTGTTGGGTGACTCTGATAACTCTAAACAACTTTCGTCACAGTGATGCACAGTGTGGAGTACATACGGGCGTCATACAACAGGGACTTCTCCCTGCTTTCCAAAAATGGCACACGCAACCGTCGAATGCCTTTGAGCCGCCCAAACTACAAGCCCTTGCAAACAGTTTCGCTTCACAGACGAGGAAAACGTTGCGCCGTCGGGGAATTGAAGGGAGAAATCCTAACCATTAGACTAACGGCACATTTAGGGTGTCGCACTTGCTCACTGTATATCGTTGTGAATTTATTACTACTTTTAACCCTACAATTCTATAACCTACTAAATCTAATATATTTGCTGTACAGATTTAGTGATTTAGTGTCAAAAGGAAAATAAATAGTGTGGGGTCACGTGAACTCCCGATCAAAAAATGATATATGCACTGATGCGAGTAACAGCCGTTACATACGGCAGATGTGGTAAAAGGTGCGAACGTACGACATACTTCGAAGTACACTAGTAAATATCTGTGGATCGTTCAATGCTCATAGGGAAACGCGATAGAACACGTCGAGGGCGTAGTTCAACAAGAACTTAGATGTAGATTCATATTGGTGGAGAACAAGACGACGACTTATATTCATGTGATTCACTTAGTTTAACTGACAGTCGCTAGAGTTGTGTACTAGTTAGTACACGTTATACTTAAATTGTTTGATGAATAACCTCTACAAGTCCACCCGGGCTTCACACTCTTGTTCGGTAGCGAACATACCCAGATTGCACATAAAATCTCACCGTGTATGAAGAACGAAGCCTCCATATTCGACTAACGTTACAGTATCTCCAGTCAAGATCAACCGAGTGCGACCAAGACACTTCAGACACCTTATGAGTCATCTCATGGGTGACCCCACGCGTCTGGGGCAAATAATGCGTATAGGCGACGCGTTGACGGACTACTATGCACTACTTCGTACGTAGTTCTAGTACTATTGTATTTACGAGTATTGCGCGTTCACCTCCACAGTACCCTATTCTCGCGCTATGACTAACACTGACCGAACTCTGTATGGTTGAATCATAGTGAAATCACATGTAAAAAGAAACAATAAACCTGTGGGATCTCTGCTATGACAACCTCATAATTCCTAACAACCGTTCACCACCCCAACTTAGCAAGCAGGCTTGGGCAAGAACGGTTCGATAAAGTCGCGGACTTCCGAGATACGGGCGTATACTCCGGGGTGGTCTGGGCGAGCGCAGCCAATACCCCAGCTGGCCACACCGGCCAAATGCTCGACCCCGTTGCGCGTGATGGTCAACGGTCCCCCAGAGTCGCCTTGGCATGCATCCTTAGACCCCCCGCCGGCACAAAGCATCGAGGACGTGATGTTGTATTTGTACTTCTTCAGCGCGTCGTGACACTTGGAGTTTTCCCAGATGATCACATCGGTTTCCAAGAGCACAGGGGAACCTACCCCGTAAGCCTGTGTATGGCCGAACCCGCGCACCCACGACACAGCGCCCGGGGCTGAAAACTGGTCTTCGTCCCAGTTGAGCTTGACGGGGGGGAACGTCGACGCAGTTTCCAATTCGAACACGGCAACGTCATAGTCGTGGCTGGTCGCCTTGTTGTACTTGGGGTGCTGAGTGCGCTTGACGATCTTGATGCGTTCGCCGTCCGTGGTGCCATTGGCGTAGTGCGAACCGACAGAGGCGAACGTAGCCCAGGCAGTCAGCGAGCAGTGGGCCGCCGTGACTAGGATCTTGGGGGCCACCAACGATGCACCGCAAATCGCGGTGCCGTTTTCAGTGCGGCGAAGACCAGTCACGTACGTGTACTTGCCAATGGGCACCACGGTACCGTTGACGATTTCAATATCGGCGGCCGCGAAGGCGGCAACAACAGCAAGGGCGAGAAACTTGACCATGGCAAATTGAATTGGAAAATGAGGTGAAGAGAGATGCGTGTTGATTGAGTGGTATACGAGGTTTATTCCAGATGGAATTTGTGCGGCCACAATGTGATACTAAATTGCTCTTGTCACTTATGTCTGTGGATAATAGTGGTGCTCGCGTGTGGATGAATAAGCTTATGCGATTTATACATGCTACGATGTACAGCATATGGTACGTGTACTGCGTCCTATCATCGTATATTCGCTTCTTCAGGGGCTAGCTAATTGATGGAAGTTGGTAAAGCGCTTCAAATTGTCCTCCTTACTGTTTCTACATAATTGGTTGTTGTACTAGTAAGTTCTTGAGATGAAAATGTCGAACCTGTCGACGTATTACCATATGTAGTAAACTTCTACGTAGTTACTGTACTGTAAGCTTATTAGTAATAATGTGAAAGGATTGATTCTATCCACTTTCAATATGAAATACTACAGTACTACGTAGTACAATAGTACCGCAGTACAATGTCTCATGGATTTTGAATAAAGTACTGTGCTGCTAGTTGGTATCGAATTGAGCTCATTATCATACTACCAATAAGAATCCGCCCACTAGTAATTATTGTGAAAGCAATGATTTAATAACTTCATCCACTTTAAAAGATCGCCTTGATACCGCTGTGTTTTGTTGTGATTGAATAAACCACAGTACCGTTAGGTGAAACCCGATTACGCCCTGTTCGGGCTAATAATCGGGTTCGTAGGGAGATTGCCTACGATTTCATATTTAACCAATGAAAACACTCCTGTACCACTCCAGAGGCGCATTTTCAAATTACCTTGTATACTGTAAGTCACTGGTACATACCCGTACACTTGGAGATTACAGAATAAGTGTACTGTATTTCTGTGGGTTATCACACATGACAACCTCGTACTGTACTTCAACTTACATTCACATGTCACCACTCCCACTTAGCAGGCAGTCTTGGGCAAGAACGGTTCGATAAAGTCACGGGCTTCCGAGATGCGAGCATACACTCCGGGATGGCCAGGGCGGGCACAACCAATGCCCCAGCTGGTCACACCGGCCAAGTACTCTTCGCCGTTGCGGGTGACGGTCAACGGTCCACCCGAGTCGCCTTGGCAGGTGTCCTTGAACCCCCCGCCGGCACAGATCATGGACGACGTGACGTTGAGGTTGTGGTACTTGTTGAGAGCGGCGTGGCACTTGGAGTTTTCCCAGATAACCACGTCGGTTTCCAAGAGCACAGGGGACGACACTCCGCCGAACGAGGTGTCGCCGAACCCGCGCACCCACGACACAGCGCCCGGGGCGGTGAACTGGTCTTCGTCCCAGTTGAGCTTGACGGGGGGGAACTTGGACTCGGTTTCCAATTCGATGACGGCAACATCGTAGTCGTGGCGAGTGGCCTTGTTGTATTTGGGGTGCAAGGTTCGCTTGACGATCTTGATGCGTTCGCCGTCCTTGGTGCCGTTCAAGTAGTGCGACCCGATGGACGCGTAGGTGGACCAGGGACGCGTCACGCAATGAGCCGCCGTGACCAGGATCTTGGGGGCCACCAACGACGCACCGCATAACGAATCAGCGGTTTCGTTGGGGCGAAGTCCCGTCACGTACGTGTACTTGCCAATGGGGGCTTCGGTACCGTTGACGATTTCAATATCGGCGGCCGCGAAGGCGGCGACAGCAGCGAGGGCGAGGAACTTGACCATGGCAACGTAAATTGGTAAATGAGGTGAAGATCGAAAGGAGGTAAATCTAGTCGTCAGCCTGTCAATCGTGTTGATGAAGAGCTGCTGTACAGTACCAGTGTACCAGAACAGTAGTGTAGTTGGAAGGGCCCAGCTATATCTTACAGGTAAAGTCTCGTGGTCATGAGTTTTGCCATATGGATTTTGCGGCCCCAACGCTGTGCTCTACTGTACTGTAGCTAGGTACGAGTTGTACTGAATTAGTGGATAATGGTGCTCCACTTGAGGATGGACATACGACGACTTGTCTTTTTAATGTTGCAAACCTAACTCCATCATCAAAGCTCCCTGATTCAGGGGCTGTAGTGGGTCTCATTGCGGAGACCTCCTACAGTATTCGCGCCTTCATGCAGAGTTGCGGTTGCCTCGGTGTTTCGAAGCAGACGTAACTTCCTTGCACGTATGGCCAAGTCCAACTTGACAACGAGTCGTTCCCCGATTAAATGAGTTCCATTGTAGTTTTGACCCGGAAAACTGTTTCAATGAGGGAAATATGCCATCCGGATACACATTACTACCCTGTAGCCGTGTAACCTGGGACTCCGTCCTACCCCTGGTAAGAAAATATAATGCTAGATCCCTAGGGTGAACTTCATCATTAGCGATTAGCTATCGCTAGCCACTGAGATGCACTTACAGTTAACCCCCCCTATCGGCAGTAAGGTGGTGTGAGGTGATAAGAGTGTATTAAATCCCGTATAACGTTGAACGACAATTTCTTGAGAAAAGAAAGGGTGAAACTGTTTTACAGTGGGAATTGTACCCTGACAAGCTAGCTACCAATCGCAACTAACTGTAAACGGTACTTCTAGTACTACGTAGTACCAGCATGAAATGAGATAAACTGAATCGTCCATGGGGATAAACCCAATCATCGAATTTATCCCACTGCATCCCAAACACTAATTGTTGACGTCAACATGGCAACCAGGCACCAGCGTGCTTTCACCAAAACCGTATCCTTTCCCCTGGTTTATCCCCATGGATGCAGCACAGTACTCTGTACTACTGTACTCGTACGGAGTACTAGTCGTAAGTTGTAATGATCTCAATGATTTCATCTTCAAGACCTGGTTAGCGATCAAACAATATGCAGTTAACCCCAGGGATTTAGCATTATATCTTCTCACCGGGGGTAGGACGGAGTCCCAGGTTACACGGCTACCGGGCAAGTAAAGTGTATCCGGACGGCATTATTCCCTCATTGACTATTTCGAGCCAAAACAACAGGGGACTGTATTAATCGGGGAATTGTTCTTGCATGAACTATAAAATTTACTTCGTATTATACTAAAGCATTGGAAGTACGATGATAGGAGTTGGGTAAGTCCAACTACATGTTCGCTACAGCCAATACTAGTACTGTAGTACCTTGTACTCGGTACTATTAATAGTATGCATGTAACGTTAGGTAAGCAAAACTGCTTTGACTCCCTTTCGGTAGTCCTAAACCTCCTGAATGACTTCGGCAACATGTCTGGCCTGTAGATCCAACTACAGAAGTCCTTTGGATTTTGCCTTAACCTCTTTCACACCCCTATGATATCCCCTTCGTCTCCGGAGATGACAGGCGTTGCTACCTGGGCATCCAAGTCGGGCTTGACTCTCTAGTGCAGGCCAACTGGGAGGCCTGCTATACCTCAACCATCCCCCGCATGCAAAATGCCAGTGGAAAGACCCACCATAAACCGGCCAGGGCGCTCGTCCTCCGCGCCATTGTTCAGGCCAAATTTGCCTCCTACATCTCGCCCTCCCCCTACTGGACAGTTGAGTTTGAGCAACTCATCTTCCGCTTCTGGTGAAGAGGCACCACGGCGTGCCAAGTCGGACGACCCTCTGCCCATCTTCAGCGCGCGCACCTGCAACGGCCACGTAGCCAAGACGGATGGGCGCTTCCAGACCTCCATACTATTGCCAAACAACAAGCTATCCCCCGCGTAGCACCCCTCCTCAGTAGCCCTGACATGTGGACCCATGCCATCGCGCTCAGCTCTCTCCAGCTTCCTCATAGAACGCACTACAGGGTCCATCCAGCGGCATGGTCCGCCCTAACCACCATTATTCAACCACCCACATTCACGGCACTTTGCGGCTCGACCAGCTCCTCATTAGCAAATCGTTGGGTTAGAATGGGTCAGAATGGGTCCGCAACCCTGAAGTCAACGCCGCCTCCTTAGCCTTCCTCCGCTAGGCACGCATAGACGCAACCTTCAGTGGGATCGTACCGGCCGGTGCCACTGACACGTGACCCCTGCACTCCAAACCGCGGCTCCTTTAAAACAGTTTATGGAACTCAACCACAGAGTCCGAATGCAGCTTGCTTTGGCACACCCAACTGCACAACAACTCCTGGATCCGCGACCACCAAAACAAACCTCTAAAGTCCCAATCCTACGACACTTTCGTCCACGCCACCGCAGCAGTTGATACTTGGATATTCACAGTAGGCGGAACCATCGAGGGGTCTTGGCACCCTACTGGTATGCACTTCCGGCTTCAGGTCAATTGGGAAGGCGACAGCTACCAAAACGGAATATTTTTTGGAGACATCCCAAAAACAGTGAACTGGATCTAACTTAGGGATGGGGACAAAAACATTTGGTGATGCGGTGGAGATGCTCTTACCGAAAGCGAGTCTAAGCAGTTACCTAACGTTACATGCATACTATTAATACAGTATAGTAGTAGCGAGTACAAGGTACTACAGTACCAGTATTGGCTGTAGCGAACATGTGCTTGGACTTACCCAACTCCTATCATCGTACTTCCAATGATTTGTAAATTGATACTACTACGAAGCAAATTTTATAGTTCATGCAAGAACAATTCCCCGATTAATACGTACGTACAGTCCCCTGTTGTTTTGGCTCGAAATAGTCAATGAGGGAATAATGCCGTCCGGATACACTTTACTTGCCCGGTAGCCGTGTAACCTGGGACTCCGTCCTACCCCCGGTGAGAAGATATAATGCTAAATCCCTGGGGTTAACTGCATATTGTTTGATCGCTAACCAGGTCTTGAAGATGAAATCATTGAGATCATTACAACTTACGACTAGTACTCCGTACGAGTACAGTAGTACAGAGTACTGTGCTGCATCCATGGGGATAAACCAGGGGAAAGGATACGGTTTTGGTGAAAGCACGCTGGTGCCTGGTTGCCATGTTGACGTCAACAATTAGTGTTTGGGATGCAGTGGGATAAATTCGATGATTGGGTTTATCCCCATGGACGATTCAGTTTATCTCATTTCATGCTGGTACTACGTAGTACTAGAAGTACCGTTTACAGTTAGTTGCGATTGGTAGCTAGCTTGTCAGGGTACAATTCCCACTGTAAAACAGTTTCACCCTTTCTTTTCTCAAGAAATTGTCGTTCAACGTTATACGGGATTTAATACACTCTTATCACCTCACACCACCTTACTGCCGATAGGGGGGGTTAACTGTAAGTGCATCTCAGTGGCTAGCGATAGCTAATCGCTAATGATGAAGTTCACCCCAGGGATCTAGCATTATATTTTCTTACCAGGGGTAGGACGGAGTCCCAGGTTACACGGCTACAGGGTAGTAATGTGTATCCGGATGGCATATTTCCCTCATTGAAACAGTTTTCCGGGTCAAAACTACAATGGAACTCATTTAATCGGGGAACGACTCGTTGTCAAGTTGGACTTGGCCATACGTGCAAGGAAGTTACGTCTGCTTCGAAACACCGAGGCAACCGCAACTCTGCATGAAGGCGCGAATACTGTAGGAGGTCTCCGCAATGAGACCCACTACAGCCCCTGAATCAGGGAGCTTTGATGATGGAGTTAGGTTTGCAACATTAAAAAGACAAGTCGTCGTATGTCCATCCTCAAGTGGAGCACCATTATCCACTAATTCAGTACAACTCGTACCTAGCTACAGTACAGTAGAGCACAGCGTTGGGGCCGCAAAATCCATATGGCAAAACTCATGACCACGAGACTTTACCTGTAAGATATAGCTGGGCCCTTCCAACTACACTACTGTTCTGGTACACTGGTACTGTACAGCAGCTCTTCATCAACACGATTGACAGGCTGACGACTAGATTTACCTCCTTTCGATCTTCACCTCATTTACCAATTTACGTTGCCATGGTCAAGTTCCTCGCCCTCGCTGCTGTCGCCGCCTTCGCGGCCGCCGATATTGAAATCGTCAACGGTACCGAAGCCCCCATTGGCAAGTACACGTACGTGACGGGACTTCGCCCCAACGAAACCGCTGATTCGTTATGCGGTGCGTCGTTGGTGGCCCCCAAGATCCTGGTCACGGCGGCTCATTGCGTGACGCGTCCCTGGTCCACCTACGCGTCCATCGGGTCGCACTACTTGAACGGCACCAAGGACGGCGAACGCATCAAGATCGTCAAGCGAACCTTGCACCCCAAATACAACAAGGCCACTCGCCACGACTACGATGTTGCCGTCATCGAATTGGAAACCGAGTCCAAGTTCCCCCCCGTCAAGCTCAACTGGGACGAAGACCAGTTCACCGCCCCGGGCGCTGTGTCGTGGGTGCGCGGGTTCGGCGACACCTCGTTCGGCGGAGTGTCGTCCCCTGTGCTCTTGGAAACCGACGTGGTTATCTGGGAAAACTCCAAGTGCCACGCCGCTCTCAACAAGTACCACAACCTCAACGTCACGTCGTCCATGATCTGTGCCGGCGGGGGGTTCAAGGACACCTGCCAAGGCGACTCGGGTGGACCGTTGACCGTCACCCGCAACGGCGAAGAGTACTTGGCCGGTGTGACCAGCTGGGGCATTGGTTGTGCCCGCCCTGGCCATCCCGGAGTGTATGCTCGCATCTCGGAAGTACGCGACTTTATCGAACCGTTCTTGCCCAAGGCTGCTTGCTAAGTCGGACTGGTATGAATATCAATGCGTACGACGTTGTCATGTCAGATAAACCACAGAAATACATTGTATGTTCGGTACAAGCGCAGTCAAAATGATGTGTGTTTGTGTGATACAAACATGCCATACTTTGTGTGTACATCCACACACAAATTGTTTGTAGACAAGTGAGTCATGCAGTATTACTATTGGGGGACTGCCAAAACCTCCGCATACTATTTTGCAACCGCTCGCAAATGAGACATTTCTCGATTTATAATACCGGTTGCAAATTGCGGAGAGGTCAAAACCGTCTCATGGGGCGGTTGGTCTATACGGCGTATGTGAAGGTGGCAAAGTTGAATTATACGTTGTATGTTGTGCCGTTGGGATCAACCTCGTCTCAGGCGAGCTTCCATTTTTCCGGGGGGGGTCGTCGTTCTTGGCCCCGTTGACCCCCACTCCGTCGGGTGTCCACTACGACATGCACATTACGGGGCGTTACATAGCGTTACATAGCTGTACCAATCGATCTAAAATGTTGGTCGATGCCTCTTCCCATGTGATGCGTCTGAAAGTCAAAACGTCAAATCGATTTGGGGTTTCCATTCGTCAAATCGATTTGGTTTCCATTGTTAAATTATGGATAACCTTTGATATTGAATATATTTTCATCACTCCATTTATTAATGTTGAGAGGTTCATTTTTGGCCGTTTCTGTCAAACTCACATTTCAGGTTTCTTCCAATTTGAATCTGCTCTGGCCACTTGGAATGCCATCTGTTCAATCCCATGTGCTGGACTGCTGCTACTTCACAGTCAACGTCCGCATCAAGCGACCTTTTCTTATCCGGATTCATTTATAGAGGTAGTATTGATACAAAAAGTCAATGAAACAATTAGTGACCATCAAGTTTAGCAAGACTATTGGATGATACAGTGAAAAATGACGTGCATTCCTGCGTTTCAGGCGTTTTATCAATCACGTTTTGGGGTTTCATCGAAAAACAATACAATTGTCCGATTCCAAATAAAATTCCATACAGGCTGGTACAAGTTTTATACCATTTCAGGTTACTTTGATAGAATTATTCACAAAAGGTCGATGGATGCTAACGTTGACTGTCAGTCCGATTTTCCCGGTTGTAGTCGATCCCCAAACAATAATTGTTGACGTCATCATGGCGACCAGCTCTCACCAGAACCGTATCTTTCCCCTAATTTGTCCCCGTGGATGCAGTACAGTACTGTAGTACTGTACTCTGTACTGGTAAGTTGTAATGGTCTCAATCATTTCATCTTCAGTACCAATGCCAGTACAGTAGTGAGTGCCCTTAATTGCATTCAATATAGGGTGGTGTACTACAGCAATCACAGAATGTAAACCTGTGAACATTGTTGTATTGTGGCAATTGAAGTGGCGGTGAATGAAATCATTGAGTGCATTACTTCCACGTCATTTTTACAACTAAAATTTACCGGTTACTTCGAAGTATATACAGCGTTATATGCGAACATCAGCAGGTAACGTAGTAGGCTGGAATTGAGCCTACTGGTACCGGTAACTCATACCCAAAAGGAATTTTCAACCCGCTCACAAAAATAGGCTACCTACCATGAAGGACGACAAGAGCCCATTAATTGACCGCTCCTACGACGACCTAACCCTGTAGTAATGGGTGTGGTCGCTGCTCATTGGATATAATTCATTGTGCTCAGATTCTTTTTGTACTACGTAGTATATGCTAAGCTGAACAGCAATTCCAAAAGAACTAGCCACCGTGGTCTAGCGGTTTGAACATGGGTCCCAAAGGTCACCAGTTCAACCCAGGCCTCCTAGCTTTTGTCGGCCTCAGCTGCTTGTCTAGGAGCGGTGTAATGAATGTAGATATTGCAAACTTAGTTGCTGGCTATCGTTCAAAGCTAGAAATATGGTGATTGCAACATTGTAGCATGAGTGATGTGTTCCTCAAAGTACATGTAGCAAAAAACACAAATATAACCTACTTTGTAAGTAAATATCTCGATGAATATAGCTCGTAGCGACCTCTATGGTACGTCATTAGGTAGAGATAATGCTTGTGAACAGAGTCTCGGGTTGATCGATTTACATTGACTCATGTTATGTGGCTTTGAAAGTGGCTGTCTCAAATATAACATCCAAGTTATCCAACTTTGTTAATCATACTCCGGAGTATTTGCTTCCTTCCACATATAACGT